AACCCTTCCGGGGAGAAGCAGCCACAGCTTCTCTGAGCAACCTGGGCCAGTGTCTCACCATCCTCACAGCAAAGAATTTCTTCCTCACATCTCATCTCAATCTCCCCTCTTCCAGTTTCAAGCCATTGTCCCTTGTTCTGTCGCTCCCTGTCCTTGTCCCAAGTCCCTCCCCAGCCTTCCTGTAGGGCCCCGTCATTACAGATGAAGGGCACCAGGCTGTGTCCTTGTTTTTGGATTCTTGAGCTGTTAATACCAGAGGCTTTTACAGCAGTTATTTAAAGTTTGTCCTGGTTTTGCTAGGATAAGTTAATTTTCTTCTTAGTAGTTAGAATAGCTGTGTTTAAGTTTCAGTGTAAGACTTGTTATGAGAAGAACATTGATAAAAGTACTGATGTTATTAGTTGCTGCTGGAGCCCAAGGCCACCGTGTTTGGCTGGTTCCCAGCTGCATTAGGAATGGGGGGGAGAAGAAGATTTAAGGGGGCGAGGAATATTTAAATTAATAAACTTAATTGGCATTTGGGTATACCCATGGGATATTCCATATCATATCACATATATTAGTGAGAGTCTCTTCCTCTTTTGGCTCTCTCTGGCTTTCGTTGGAGCTCTCGCTCTTTGGGGATTGCAGTTTCGGTTCGGGATTGTCGCTCCTCCAGGATTATTATCTGGGAACAGGCCAGGCTTGGTTGGCAGGTGGTGAGCAATGGTGCTGTGTATTACTCATTTGCATATCTTATTACTGTTATCATTATCACTACTATTTTAATATTAGATGGGTTTTTTAAAAGTTTTATTTCTATTATTAAACTGTTCTTATCTCAACCTATAAGCCTTCTTACCTTTGCCCCCAATCCTCTCCCCTATCCCCTGGGTGTGGGGGGGAAGTGAGTAAGCAGTTGTGTTGGCTGCTGGCCAAGGGCTAGTCCAGTGAAACTCTCACAAAGTTGTAATGTGTCGCTTTTGTGGAGTTCACATGCAGTTCTGGAAAGGGGTGATGGAAAAGAATTGTGCTAAGATTTGCACAATGCAGTAATTACTGGAAAACTTACAAAAAAA